GCACTACTTGGAAACTGAAGGGCAACGCAAAGCATCTGAACAAATGGGAAGATAGGAAAAATGGGAATTGATTCAATGAATATTCATAATGTCAATCCAAAACATGTTCACTTTTGTTAGATCTAAAGTCCGAATGAAGTCAACAACGAGTAATAATATCAATCTGTGCCAGGGTAAAAAGAAATGGAAAAATGCGAAAGACTGATAAAAAAACCCAATCCAACGAAGTCTCAAATCTGAAATAAATCTAACAGGGCAAATTGCATGGAACGTATTGTGAAACTGAATGGTAGATGGTTAACTATGGTAAGTATAAGATATGCGCGAATAACCAAAAACACAGATGAATAAGTTCAATTCAATTCATTCAAGGATGTCTGCTTAACTGTGCGGAAAAGAGAACATACACGACAACACAGTCTGGTTGTTAGTTCTATAAATATCATGTAGATTGTAGCTGTGCACAGGGCTTTTCAAAAATTAATTGAATTTTAAATTAATTGCAATTAATTGAATTTTTAACTAATTGTTGGGCATGCAATTATTTCAATTAAAATTTTCTCATGCCCAGTTAACTGCAATTAATTGCAATTAATTGTTGTTGAACAGAAGCAAGTTCGTTTGTTAAGCGTTGGTTGTTGAGCAACGAATTACATCTGGCGGTCTCGCGCAACACCCTCCTTAAATACATGGAAAAACTTACGAAACAAGTTGAAATTAACATTGCTAAGGAGCTTCCGGAGAAATTTTCGCTTATCATAGACGGCTGAACAAGACCAGATGGTTGAGTACCATGAACATGATCGACAGATATTTTGAGATGAAAGGTTTTGTGGAGAATTTGCCAAGTTTCTCTAAACTGGTTGATTACTTTCCTAGTGCAAGAGAAAACAGTGAACTCAAAGAACGCGCTTCAACGCGAAAACATTGACATGTCGGATGCACGCATTCTTTTTGATGGAATTTTGGATGAGTACAAAGAAGAAGAATTTGCGAAATACTTGTCTGAAGATGGCGATTTAGTTCATGTGCCAGTTTTCCAGAAAGCAATTATTAAATTGTTGAAACACAAAGAAGCTGATTTAACAATCGAAGAAAAGGCCGCTGTTGAGTCTCGACATCTGCGACATCTGAACTTTTCATTGATAATTGCAATTAATTGCAGTTTAACTTTTGTTTTTTTCAGTTATTTGATAATTAATTGCTGAACATCCAATTAACTGCAATTTAATTGTTTTGATCTCAATTAATTTTTGAAAAGCCCTGGCTGTGCAAATTGAACTGGTGTTCGAATGAATGGAGTTGAAAGGGCAAATTAAACCAGAATAAAGACGACTCTATAGAATCAATACAATCCATCACCCACATCACAACATCATCATCTCAAACACCACAATGCATGCACACAATACTTCTTCTGTCGATCCACAATTGGCAACAACACAAATAGACTAGAGATATTTGCAGGGTCATTATGTATTCAAGTTCAATGCAAACATCTAATTGACAACATAAATAGAGAGTTAATTCAAATGCAACAAAACCATCCACCTATTCAGCTCCCAATCACAATGATGGGCGACAGAGCAACAAACTCTGCACAGGTAATAGGAAGGGAAAAGAAGCGACAGCAGAGAATGAAAGAAGCTGCAAAAGAAGAAACAAGGAAAGCGGATAACTGTAGTTGGGGCATTTGTCTCTCATCAATAGCTGCACAATGTATCCACTATTACATTACACACTACACAAGCAAGCAGGGACTAACGATGAAGGTGTTTCAAATGATAAACCAGCACCACTAAGGGGACCTAATTCAGTTTTTTGTCTGCAGTCTCCCTCTGCCTAGTATATCTGAGAGACAGAGAGAGATAAAGAAATGGAAAACATGGCCACTTGCTTAATGGGAACTGAGTGGCTGTTAATGTTGTTTTAATGAAGGTGCTAAGAATGATGACTTCAACTTTAGTGATTCAAATATAAACATCTCCATGTCACAACGGGGCCATAACACTCAATTCATTTACTTCTGCCAATACTGCTGCAGTTTTATACTCAGAGGCCACGGTCAAAAACAGCCCACTTATCTTTCAGGCGTTTCTCCATTTTTATCTTTCAAGTTCAAATGACTTCTTTGCAAACTGATTACAATTGTGTCTTTCCACGCTCACTCTGTCACTTCCAATCAAACTGAGATATTTGATATTACTCGAGGCTAGAAAACTAAACCGACAGGCAAACAGGAATGCAAACACAATCAGTGGAGAGCAAAGTACGAGTGCCTCGTTGCGGCAGTACCCACGTCATCCCTCGCAGCATGTCCCAAATCTCGTACAAACCTTCTGCAACAGGAACATCGTTTCCCAAGTCGTATTTTTAACTGGATGCACAAAAATAACCGTAATTGAACACCTTCATTGAGAAACTTAAACGATTCCAGCCAAAGAACAATGAAAAGTTTAGCAAACAAATCCTAACTTGCTGCCATCAACAAGAACGATGTGACCATCACACAACCCCATTTTGAGACTTTAAAACAAACAATTGCCAATCAATACTATGAAAACATGAAAATATCTTCATGAAATTGATAAAATTGGACCAGATCAAAACAAAGTCGCACAGAAAATAATTCTTTCAAATGAAGTGAAAAACTGCGTCACCAAACATCCCTCCAAACTGATGGCTCTCAAACACCAAAAAAGCGACGGAAGAAAACAACCTTCATAGAAGTTCAGAGCGGACTGTTGCTCCACTCCGCTGTGGATATGGCACACAATTAAATAGCTATCGGTCACGATTGGACAAAAACATAGAAAACAAACACCAAGTTAAAACGCAAACCGAATGACATACACCTCTTTTACTGTGTATAGAAGCCAACATCTCAACCTGACGACCTGAAGGACAACACCTTTGGAGTCGAAAAATGGCTCAAATTACCACATTACGGCTCACATCAGGAGTGTTTCTCAATTCTCCGCCCTAATTAACTCCCCAGTTGAATGAAGCACGGAGGTTTTGCTCAGTTCTCCGTACCAAAATTGCTCCCTAAAACGGGTTTTATTGAGTACTGTAAGAAGGGGTCCTTCAAGCTTTTAGCGAGCCCTGGGAAATCCACTGCTACTGTTTGTCGGAACAAACGGCAAACAGACGACGAACTTCGATTTTGGAGTACCGAAAACAAACTTACGTTACGAGTTTCGTTTTGCAAACCCTTAAAACGTTTGCAAAACTACACAAAAATTTTGCAAAACAACACACCGAGCCTGTATTTCAACGCAGGAAACAAACTTTAAAAAATCGAAAGTCAAACCGCGAAAGCATAAATTTGGTCTGAAAAAAATATAACTTTTACATAAAAAACCAAAAAAATCAACGCGACCGAACTAAGAATGTGAATTGTGTTCATCGACTCTCAAACTAATTTTCAATTAGAGGCGAAGCTTCACTTTGCCAACATCAGCGAAAACACGATAAACAAGCAGCTCGATAAAGTGCAAAAAGAAAAAGATATCGGCCTCGAACTAAAAAAAAATCGACTAAGTCTCGGATTCGATCTGCAAACTAGAGCTTTAAAGCCTTACTCACTAACCACTCAGCCACGGACGCTTCATAAATAACAAACACTATCCATAACTAAAGAAGAGAACAGATGCTATGAAATTTCCCATGTTACAGATCGTGATTATAGCAAAAGGCCACCAAATAAGTGAACAATTTTATTTGCGAGTTACGTTTAAAAAAGAAGATTCGTGCAAGTACACTACGCTCTTAAGCTCGCGGCAAAAAAGAACGAATAAGGAAAATGGAGACAAGCTTAACAACTTGGTTGCAGAAAGTACAAGGTAACAGAAAATCAAGTTGTTTAACAGAAAAAAATGCAAGATCTGATTTAATAAGACTTGCTAAGTGCAAACGTCAATCTACGTCAATCAATATTCGCAATTGAACTAGATTTCGTGGTTTCAATAACAAACAAAAACTGACTTCTATTTCATTAAACAAAGACAAATTAAATTAAAAAAAGCTATTTAGTAGAGGCCCAATATGGGAGACGCCTACAATTCATGCTTTCAATTGAGCTCAGTATCAAATTCAGCAGTGTAGTTTTCAAAAAACTGGAATTTTGCTTACGCGTTGAAATTTTTGAAATATAGATTTTTCTCAAAGCCAACAAAAACGGATGTAAATTTTTATGAAGGTGGAAGCATCGCACCACGTTCTTTCAATTGAACCATCAACATCAAAATCAAACTGCAAAAAACAATCGATATCTCAAAAAATTTCTAAGTTTTTAAGTTCAAAACAGTTTACTTACCAAAGTTAGCGCGTAGCTGCTTCTTCAGAAAAAAATCCCACAACATGTTTGTTCGACTGAACCCTTAGACACGACTTATGCAGATACGGTTCACATAAAAAGATTTTTCGATAGAACGCTAAATCTCGGACTTGGCAGGGTAGTTTTCGAGATGAGTGAAAAATATCAAAACGGTAAAAACTTCAGAAACTGGACTTTCCACGGACAAAAGTTTTCCTGTGAAAGATTACGGAGTCACCTCTGATGGTAAAAATATCTCGCAACCTGTTCCTTAGATTGAACCCCTTACCTCAGATTTGTATGCGTAGTTTTACGGCAAAGTGAAAACGTTTCCAAAAATCGATTGAAAAAATAAAATTGATTTATCCAAAAGCTACAACTTTTTTTTTGAAAAAAAAGGCTCATCAGTATAGGCAGTGAAGAAGCCCGCAACATGTTATTTCCCGCAAACCATTAATCAAAGAATTGGCAGGCAGGATAGTTTTCGAGACAAACCAAAAGAGTTTCACCTTTTTAGATTTGACAATTGCCATGACTTTTTTATTTAAAAAAACTTATGGCCTACCCGCTAAACAAACTGCTCTTTTGATTAAACCCATGATATCAGATTATGCAGGGTAGTTTTCGAAAAAAAGTAGAAAAAATAAAATGGTGTTAGAGAGTGTGTGGTGTGTCTGCTCACCTTGGTCTCTGTCGTGGAGGAGGAGAGTATAGAGTTGGTCTGGCAGTTCACTCACTCTGTAGTACCACTTCACTTCCACCAACACATTCTCCTTCCTGTCCTACAACACACACACGACACAGATGACGTGTAAGGACGACACAAAAAGGAGACTTCACTTCATGTGATTATGTAATTAAATGATGCAATAATTGACCAAATTACTAATCTGGTCCGCCAACTTTTCCTTTGCTCATACTTCCATTTACTCATCTACAGCCAAAACAGTTATCAGAAAAAAATCTTAATTCGTTAATTGAGCATTCAGAGACATTTACCAAGCGGTAAATAGGCCAAAAATACTGGGTATTTACCCGTTGAGCCGACAACAACAATTTGCTATGATATAGTATTTTGATCTATGAAGTATTGAAACCAGAATTTTACGCATTGAAACTTCTATTGCTCCTCAAACGACGCAATATAGGACGGCTATATAATATACACCGAAAATACTTGAGTGACGAAAAAAAAACTTTTCAAAATATCTAAACATTCAAGTTTTCCCAAAAATTTTTGAATTTCCATACAAAAAAAACTTATGGACTTGAAGCTCTTTAAATATTAAGAACAATTAATAATTGACACACTTTTGACAAAACTAACACAATTTGAGAAAACTGGATCAATAGGTAAATTTGTTTATTCCGGTGGGAAATCTGAAAATCACAATCTACTTTCGAAATTAAATTCGATCACGTTTATTGCCTGCAACTCCGCTTTCGGAATTGGAAAACGCATTTTGCCTAACATTTAGCAGATGAATTTGAATTAAATTCAAACAATGCACATGCAGCTAAGTGTGGTCATAAAAGCATTAATATGGAATTCACAGACGAGTGCGAAAGTTGTTTGATGGCAACTGAGGCCCCATTTATTGTTTTCTTGTGGCTAAATGAAATTGAAATCGAAAAACTTCGAACCAATATTTCTTTTGGAAATTTTGTTATTGAAGAGTTCTTCGCCTTCTAATTTGATTATGAATTTGAAATGAACTTAAAAAGAAACCAAAATTCAAAACATACATTTCAACACCAACAACTTTTAAGACTTGTTGCTGCGAGACACCACACGAACAGAATGTCTTTTGATATAAAAAAAGCCGCCTCACAGAAATGCAAGCACTGATAAATCAAGCTTGCGTCGAAACAGGGCTTCTCTTTGACGCAACAACAAGATCGGGGAATGCAGCAGAAAAAATGATGCAAAAATGGATAAACAATAATGATAACAATGGAGCAACAAAAAGGAGGCTCCTCTAAAAACCATGGAACGCAATCACAAATATTCACGACATAAGTAACATACTAGAAAAAAACAGCCTTACGATGAAAAAAGAACCACATAAGCAACATACTAGAAAAAAAACAGCCTTACGATGAAAAAAGAACCACATAAGCAACATACTAGAAAAAAAACAGCCTTACGATGAAAAAAGAACCACATAAGCAACATACAAGAAAAAAAAACAGCCTTACGATGAAAAAAGAACCACATAAGCAACATACTAGAAAAAAAACAGCCTTACGATGAAAAAAGAACCATATAAGCAACATACTAGAAAAAAAAACAGCCTTACGATGAAAAAAGAACCACATAAGCAACATACTAGAAAAAAAACAGCCTTACGATGAAAAAAGAACCACATAAGCAACATACTAGAAAAAAAACAGCCTTACGATGAAAAAAAGAACCACATAAGCAACATACTAGAAAAAAAACAGCCTTACGATGAAAAAAGAACCACATAAGCAACATACTAGAAAAAAAAACAGCCTTACGATAAAAAAAGAACCACATAAGCAACATACTAGAAAAAAAACAGCCTTACGATGAAAAAAAGAACCACATAAGCAACATACTAGAAAAAAAACAGCCTTACGATGAAAAAAGAACCACATAAGCAACATACTAGAAAAAAAACAGCCTTACGATGAAAAAAGAACCACATAAGCAACATACTAGAAAAAAAACAGCCTTACGATGAAAAAAAGAACCACATAAGCAACATACTAGAAAAAAAACAGCCTTACGATGAAAAAAAGAACCACATAAGCAACATACTAGAAAAAAAACAGCCTTACGATGAAAAAAGAACCACATAAGCAACATACTAGAAAAAAAACAGCCTTACGATGAAAAAAGAACCACATAAGCAACATACTAGAAAAAAACAGCCTTACGATGAAAAAAGAACCACATAAGCAACATACTAGAAAAAAAACAGCCTTACGATGAAAAAAGAACCACATAAGCAACATACTAGAAAAAAAACAGCCTTACGATGAAAAAAGAACCACATAAGCAACATACTAGAAAAAAAACAGCCTTACGATGAAAAAAGAACCACATAAGCAACATACTAGAAAAAAAAAAGCCTTACGATGAAAAAAGAACCACATAAGCAACATACTAGAAAAAAAACAGCCTTACGATGAAAAAAAGAACCACATAAGCAACATACTAGAAAAAAAACAGCCTTACGATGAAAAAAGAACCACATAAGCAACATACTAGAAAAAAAACAGCCTTACGATGAAAAAAGAACCACATAAGCAACATACTAGAAAAAAAAACAGCCTTACGATGAAAAAAAGAACCACATAAGCAACATATAGAAAAAAAACAGCCTTACGATGAAAAAAGAACCACATAAGCAACATACTAGAAAAAAAACAGCCTTACGATGAAAAAAGAACCACATAAGCAACATACTAGAAAAAAAACAGCCTTACGATGAAAAAAAGAACCACATAAGCAACATACTAGAAAAAAACAGCCTTACGATGAAAAAAAGAACCACATAAGCAACATACTAGAAAAAAAACAGCCTTACGATGAAAAAAGAACCACATAAGCAACATACTAGAAAAAAAACAGCCTTACGATGAAAAAAGAACCACATAAGCAACATACTAGAAAAAAACAGCCTTACGATGAAAAAAAGAACCACATAAGCAACATACTAGAAAAAAAACAGCCTTACGATGAAAAAAGAACCATATAAGCAACATACTAGAAAAAAACAGCCTTACGATGAAAAAAAGAACCACATAAGCAACATACTAGAAAAAAAACAGCCTTACGATGAAAAAAGAACCACATAAGCAACATACTAGAAAAAAACAGCCTTACGATGAAAAAAGAACCATATAAGCAACATACTAGAAAAAAAACAGCATTACGATGAAAAAAAGAACCACATAAGCAACATACTAGAAAAAAAAACAGCCTTACGATGAAAAAAAGAACCACATAAGCAACATACTAGAAAAAAAACAGCCTTACGATGAAAAAAGAACCATATAAGCAACATACTAGAAAAAAACAGCCTTACGATGAAAAAAAGAACCACATAAGCAACATACTAGAAAAAAACAGCCTTACGATGAAAAAAAGAACCACATAAGCAACATACTAGAAAAAAAACAGCCTTACGATGAAAAAAGAACCACATAAGCAACATACTAGAAAAAACAGCCTTACGATGAAAAAAGAACCATATAAGCAACATACTAGAAAAAAACAGCCTTACGATGAAAAAAAGAACCACATAAGCAACATACTAGAAAAAAAACAGCCTTACGATGAAAAAAAGAACCACATAAGCAACATACTAGAAAAAAAACAGCCTTACGATGAAAAAAAGAACCAAGATCCCTAGAAAGATAAGGACTCACAATGGGAATAGAGAAGAACAGACGAGTCAAATTAGCCATACTAGAGTGGCATCCACTCCCAAAAACAACAAACAAAAATGAAAACTCGAACAAACGTCCAGTATTGGAGGCGAATATTGAGGGAGGCGGGCAGAAACCCTTTTGAGATGGGCAAACTGACCAGAGACCGTAAAGAGTGGAGGAAATTAGCAATTTTCAAACACCCTCTTAACTTTACGAAAAACAAACACAGGAAAAATATTTTTTTGGATTTCAGCTCACAACAATAACATCTTCCAGATGTTAAAAAAAATTTGTCAAAAATCTTAGTTAAGAAGTCGAAAATTGAATGGAAAAAAAGCCACACGCATAGATATTCCGCACTTTCTTCGAAAGTCGGAACAAAAAAAATACTTTCGAATTACAAAGAAAAAAAGAAGCCCTAAAAGCTCATTTAATTTTTACAACAACTTATGATTGGCACTTATTTGATAAAATTAACCCAATTTGAGAAAAAAAGTGAAATAATTAATTTCGCTTTTTACGGATCAAAGAGTGAAATAATTAATTTCGGTGAGAATTCTGAAAAATGAAGTCCATTTTAGAAGTTGGAAGTAGATCACGTTTTTCGCGATCTTTAAACTTTTTCTGTTCCATAGTGGAGATTGCCTTCCTTTTAACAATGGAAATGATCTGAATTAAAAAAATAAAAACTGAAGCAGCGAAAAAGTAAATTTGAGTGTTAATTTATTTTTGAGCAACCTCCCCATTTGTTTTTATTTTTGAGCAACCTCCCCATTTGTTTTTATTTTTGAGCAACCTCCCCATTTGTTTTTATTTTTGAGCAACCTCCCCATTTGTTTTTATTTTTGAGCAACCTCCCCATTTGTTTTTATTTTTGAGCAACCTCCCCATTTGTTTTTATTTTTGAGCAACCTCCCCATTTGTTTTTATTTTTGAGCAACCTCCCCATTTGTTTTTATTTTTGAGCAACCTCCCCATTTGTTTTTATTTTTGAGCAACCTCCCCATTTGTTTTTATTTTTGAGCAACCTCCCCATTTGTTTTTATTTTTGAGCAACCTCCCCATTTGTTTTTATTTTTGAGCAACCTCCCCATTTGATTTTATTTTTGAGCAACCTCCCCATTTGTTTTTATTTTTGAGCAACCTCCCCATTTGTTTTTATTTTTGAGCAACCTCCCCATTTGTTTTTATTTTTGAGCAACCTCCCCATTTGTTTTTATTTTTGAGCAACCTCCCCATTTGTTTTTATTTTTGAGCAACCTCCCCATTTGTTTTTATTTTTGAGCAACCTCCCCATTTGTTTTTATTTTTGAGCAACCTCCCCATTTGTTTTTATTTTTGAGCAACCTCCCCATTTGTTTTTATTTTTGAGCAACCTCCCCATTTGTTTTTATTTTTGAGCAACCTCCCCATTTGTTTTTTTTTTGAACAACTATTGTAACATTGTAATGTACTCTAAAAACTTGCAAAGCAAAAAAATAGCTGTAGCGAACATATTTGTTTAGAGAACAGATTAGAATATTACAGGTTACAGAACAGATTAGTGAATTTATATACAGTTCATGGACTGTAAAACTTTGTTGTCGTAAAAGCTTCGGTAATTCTGATAATTTTACATTGCTACATTGACATTGAAAATTGTGTTGCATAATTTGTTTCTCCATACACCAAAAAACCCTATTGAATGATTGAACAATTTCTAAGACTTTTCCTGAAAAAAAAACTTAAAAAACTCACGACCTATTTAGGAGTCTATGTTCATAGAAGTTTAAAACATTATCAAAACTAGAAACCAAACGCGACTTTTGCTTTATTTCGACTTTTTTCTCAGAGCTCGATGCCGATTCTAACTTCACATCAACCATTTCAAACGTTCATACACGATTGAAATTCGAGACAGTAAATACTTGACTGAAAATGTCTTAGATCCCAATTAAAAACTTCATTCAAGTCATTCACCTTTTTCGCAACCGTTAAGCCTTTGCTTAGTGAATAGTGAAGTTTGCCTTGCTGGCTGTTTTCCATTCCCTACCTACATCCCTCCCCATTTGTATTTACTTTTGAACAACTATTGCAATGTACTTAAAACTTGCACAGCAAAAAACAGCTAGGGACCAGATTTGTTTAGTGAACAGATTACACAAGATAAGTGAATATATACAGTTCATGCACTGTTCAAATTTTGTTGTCGTAAAAAAACTTCGGTAATGGTTTCAAATTTTCTTTTGAAATAAATCATTCTTATAATTTTACATTGGCTAAATATAGTGTGGCATAATTTGTTTCTCCATACACAAGTAAGCCTTATTGAATGGGTGATTTACTATTAGAGTTGTAAAACTTTAGCAAAAAAGTTTTCGGTATATAATGTCTCATTTTCGATATAACACCGCAATGTCGACCTAGTTTTGATTTTATTTTTTCTAGACTTATAAATTTATGAAAGTTTCTGGACAACAATAACATCGCCGAGATATTTGCACGAAAATTTAGGGTGAAATGTAACAGTTTGAAGCTCGGCAAAGAGATTGGAAGCACTTCGTGTTCCTTTCAAAGTATCTTTAGTATCTCTTAAACGGCAAAACAAGCTGCAAGAAAAAATGCCTTAAAAATCAATTTCAAAATAAATAACCCGCTAACTCGAGATCACGATGCACTTGCCTTAACTAATACACTAACGATCGCAAGCTCGCTAGTGTGAAAAACAACGAATTGATGTCGCACCATTTGCAATTCTGGTCTTGAATAGTAGATTTACTTTATTTAGCAAATCACTTCACTTAGAACTTCAAAAAAAAAAGAAATCAAAAGCCAAGCCGCCAAATATTCATTTAAAAACCGTTCTTAATCAAACGGTTTTTTGCCACGCGAACAGGGTGCCATAGAGTGCTAAACAGGGTGGTTCCATAAAAAAGTAGGACAATGAATATGATGAAAATGTACTTACATTATATCAAAGAACAGACTGTGTAAAAAGCAGTAAGCTTTCAAAATAAAACAGGTCACTTGATTGAGTGAAAATTGACTAAGTAGTGGAGCGAGAAGACAGGAAGAAATAAGTGACAAATAGTGCTCTATGAAGCAACAAAACTAAACTGCGGCCAAATGTGCAGCGTCATATAGGCCAAGCTTTTGCCAATTGTGGGTCGGTGGGTAAGAAAAACAACTAAACAGTTCAACAACTAAATGCTTCAGTTGCTCATTTATTCATAGGTTCAATTTTATCCGCTATAATCTGCAGGGGATAATAGTAAAAGGGAATGCTAGAGACAGAGAGAGAGAGAGAGAGAGAGAGAGAGAGACATGTGGTGGAAGAGATAGTTATTTACTCGATTCCATTGCCCATTGAGTGCCCAGTTGCACATTCTTCTACTCTTTTCGCCTCTAGTCTAATGGAATGAAATCCACCAGAATAAATTCCCCCTTTCTCACTTGTTCCAATAAAGACCACTACCGCCACACAAATCATCAACTGGTTTCTTATTTTACATGGGGGTCATCGGGCAAATCAGATCGCCTACAATCTAAGTTATTGTCCTTAGAAACACATCAAATTATAAATATTGAAGACATTTTTGGAAACAGCCTATGTTCCGACCAATCCGGAATTAATCAACCTCAAGTCTTCTTAGAAATTCTTTGGAGGACGATTAACTACGTGAAAACAAGACTAAAGGTTGATTCAACAATTCCTAAACGAGCCAAGCTGTGATGAGAATAATCAGCATCTTTACACGTACCACCTAATGCTCAGATCGCACTAGCCAATAATAAAACAAACAGAGTAATTAACAGAAATTCTGTTAAAAGTAAACAAATTAACAGAATTTTTGAGCAGAGGTAGAAAAAAACATGAGGTTCGAAAATAAGGAAAAATCATAATTGGCTTCGAACTAAAGTTAACTTAGATTGGAAGTGACCTCACATCTTCTCATCCAAACTTCAGTTGTGAACTAGAAAAACTGAAATTACAACCAGGCCAGTTTCTCTACACTTTCAGAGAACTATTTGAAAATACATTTTTTGGCATCTGCATCTCTTAAAGCGCCTGCAAGATGATGCCTGCAATTAAGTGGAAAAACACACCAACATATGCCATGACTCAATCTAAGAGTGAACGCCGAAACAGTTATTATCTACTGGCTGCAGCAGTAGATTTCTAAGAAAGTACTAACCAGTTTGAAGTTCAGGAGGGTGCAGATGTCGAATGGAGTGTCTGCTGACCTGTTTTCCAGATAGACACAATCTAAACAAAAAGAAGAAACAATAAAAACTAAAAGAGAAGCACAACTGCATCAATTCCAGCAACTACAGAATAAATAAGCTAAAATATTTTGTCTGCTTATGAAACAGAACAGAGCACCTTTTACTGATTCTTTAACACGTATGCTTTGTAACTGCTACAAGAGTTCAAGAAAAGTCTCACATCATTTCCTATCAAAAATATCCGACTCAATATTAACCGGGCACTTTATATGCTTACGAAACTAGTCCATTACACTGTGTTAGAGCAAATTATTGACATCAATTGGACAGCCTAAGACGGCTGAAAACAGGCTAGATTTAGCTTTATGGCGCTCTCTCGAGTGTTTTTGGAGAAGAATTCTTTAATTCTTATTTTATTTGTGTAACGATTATGGGATTACTTTACTACAGCGCACATGGGATTAATTTATTACACAAAGGCGAAGCTGAGCTTCGCATCACATGCGATACAAAAAAAAAACGAGAAATATCAAAAGATTATGAGGCTGAAACGAAGTAAAAAACACTTGAAGGAAATCGGTTTCAAAAATCAAGAAACATTTTAATGCAATAGTTTAAAAAATTGATGACCTGCAAAATAAGAAGGATTCGGGCAACACAAACTCCATTCATGTCTTTCTCATAAGCAATAGATGGAAATGATAAAAAAAATTTTGCTCAAATTCGATATCCAATAGTTCTGAATGTACTCACAAATTTTGCTTTAAATCTTGCAAATAAAGAAAAATGTACTACAGAAACATTGAGTTTACGAAAAGGGCTTGCCCGTTATTTGCTATAAACGAAGATCAAACTGAAAAAAAACTACAAATAAACAAAAGCATAAGTTTCAAACAAATTCTACAAAAAAAGCTCGCTGAAAACCTGTAAAACTCTTAAGGCTTATAAAATTAATCCAATTATATCAAACCTAACGATTATGAAGTTGATAAAGAACGTTAACAGAGAGGGTGGCTCACAACAAAAAAAGGTAATAACAAGAAATCCCAATGAAGAAAACACGAAAAAAAACAAATTCACAATTTTTAGCTAGAAAAATCCCACTCCTGAATCGCGTTCAAAACTTGCCACATATCTTCATAGACAAGACAGTTAGGTCAAAATTGCAAAAAACAAACATTCTGGAAATTTATGATTTTTTTTTCAAATAATTTTGACATATTAAAATAATACGTCATCAACTTGAACCAATTTCAAACAAAACTGCTCAATCCTAAAACAGTAAACAGATCAAATTAAAACTAATTCCCGCACTTTTTGATTTAAAAAAAATCAGAGACCAAGCATCCGAAAAAAAATCATTTTTTATGTCAGTTTTTTTTTCTTTTCTAACAGAGAGATTTGGATTAGACAAAAACTAAAGACACACGCATTAAATTTACCCTTTGGTATATGAAGATAAAAAAGTAGTGAAAAATCGACAAAATCGACAGCGCATTCTTCAGTGCAAATCACTTTTCACATGAAGAAATTGTATAATTAAGCAATTCAAAAATGTTTTTATAATATTCGGATTAAAATTTTATAAATCATTCATGATAATTATTTTGATATGCAATGGCATTTTATACTCTTCTTGTGCTTGTGAATTTTTATTTTGAACAATAAATTTTGTCAGCATAAATTATACAACTAAAATGATAAACCTGATTTGCGGTTCGACAACCAGTCTTTACTCTATCAAACATCGAGGCGAAGCTGTGCTTCGCAAACCCAGCGGGAAAACGACACAAAGCAAGTCTATAATGTGAAAAAGAAAAATAGAAATAAGCCTCGAATTAAATAAAAATCGGCTACGTCTCGGATTCGAACCTACGACCCACTGCGACCTGGAGATTTTGAGACTCAAGCACTAACAACTCAGGTACGCCTAATTAATCACAAACACTGGTCACAAATAAAGCAGAGAACAGATGCTATGCAATTTCCAATGTGACAGTGAAGTTTTCAATTAACACTTTTGATTGCGTTAGGAAAAAAAGAAGGTTGGTACGAAAACACTAACGCTCGCAACCTCCCTAGTGTGAAGATATCTTAACTCTGTAAACAATTCTCACGCAGTTTGCACTCAAGTTATTATCTAACTTCAGTTACTTTCGGTTCAACTAATTTGTTTGTCGTCTAATTTCCTAACTCCCTTAATAATATATAAATTTTTGGTGGCAGGAAAAAAACGGAAAGCAAACTAGACGTTTCTAGTAAAATTGAATCCAGGCGTCATTTTTTTTTGCAAAAACGAGCATTTTGTACGAAACGCAAAGACCTACAAAACTTATTGCTTAAAACAAAATTTCACAAAAAACAAAAGATTACTTAATGCCATTGCATATCAAAATACTTATTTTGAATGATTTACAAAGAGTTTATCTGAATTTTATAAACACTTACGAACTGCATAAATTATACAACTGCGAAAAGTGAAAAACTGATTTGCATTTAAGAAAGCTCAAACGAAAGTTAATTGTCGTCAGCGAAAGTTATTTGTAGTCAGTAAACAAAGTACAGAAACGATAAAAATACAATTACGTCTTATTTCTCATAATTGTAGTTTTGAATCGGCGCATCAAAATTCTTTTTTTTTTGGTCACGTCTAGTTTGCTTCTCGTCTAATTTCCTATAATTTCAACAGCCAATTAATTTCATTTATTTTTCAATCGGTTGTAATTTGAAGTTCCAACTCTCAAAACTGATGTAATAACTCGATTTCAATCACTTGAACTTTGCACTTTCTCGAAAAATATCATACTTTAAAGTAATTTTCCTCGGTGAAACACTTAAGTACCTGATGTCACACTTGTTCAACACTTTAAGAAGGCAATTAACAAAACGGCTCCAGCAACTCATTCTCAGCAGGGGTATATTTCAATGCAATAAAACTTTTGACAACTTTTAATCTAACATGAGACTTGGCCGACCAAATTTGAGCAAAAAATCAAAAACACCGATGAAAGGCTCACAAAAGCTATTTGGTCAAAAAGAAACGTGAGGAAAACTTTGGCAAAAGCAACAAATAAATTTTATAGCAAGGTGATAAAATAAAAGATTAAATATGCTCTTTAAATTCTTTAATTTGGGATATATTTTCGTGCAAAACCTTTCAACATATTTATGTCTAATTGACATTTGTTGTGGAAACGACAGAAAAAACACCAGAGTCACGAACTCTGCTGAGAGAAAAAACCGCAGAGCGTGAACAATTTGAAACACAGATGCACTGCGGAGCTCCTCTCCACTTGCGACTCAGCACAAAGATAGCACGGCACACGAAATATAAAATGAGACAAGAGCCAGTCGAACAATAAATTTTTTTTAAATAGAGACAAAATATACCAACCAATGACTACGCTAAAAAAATGCTGGAAATTTTTCGATCCGCCTGAAATAAAAACACACATAAAATTCTAATTTCGGAACACGATAACTCAAACAATTCAAGCCGAAGGAAACTTCAAAGAAACAAAAGACAAAAAAAAATTAAAACTTCACAAAACGTGCAAAATTGACTGTTAGAAAAGGCATTCTGAAACTATAAAAATGGCGGAAATGTAGGACAAATAAGAAAACATGTGATAACTTCAGCCTCAAGAACTACACGCCCCTTGCAGCCTTAAGTGTAGAGTATCTCACGTGTACCAAATACTAGCCAGAACGACAAAAAACAGCTCTATAAAGTGCAATAAGAAAACAAGCGATAACTTTAGCCTCGAGAACTACACGCCCCTTGCAGCCTTAAGTGTAGAGTATCTCACGTGTACCAAATACTAGCCAGAACGACAAAAAAACAGCTCTATAAAGTGCAATAAGAAAACAAGCGATAACTTTAGCCTCGAGAACTACACGCCCCTTGCAGCCTTAAGTGTAGAGTATCTCACGTGTACCAAATACTAGCCAGAACGACAAAAAACAGCTCTATAAAGTGCAATAAGAAAACAAGCGATAACTTTAGGCTCGAGAACTACACGCCCCTTGCAGCCTTAAGTGTAGAGTATCTCACGTGTACCAAATACCAGCCAGAACGACAAAAAAACAGCTCTATAAAGTGCAATAAGAAAACAAGCGATAACTTTAGCCTCGAGAACTACACGCCCCTTGCAGCCTGAAGTGTAGAGTATCTCACGTGTACCAAATACTAGCCAGAACGACAAAAAAAGAGCTCTATACAGTGCAATAAGAAAACAAGCGATAACTTTAGCCTCGAGAACTACACGCCCCTTGCAGCCTTAAGTGTAGAGTATCTCACGTGTACCAAATACTAGCCAGAACGACAAAAAAAAACAGCTCTATAAAGTGCAATAAGAAAACAAGCGATAACTTTAGCCTCGAGAACTACACGCCCCTTGCAGCCTTAAGTGTAGAGTATCTCACGTGTACCAAATACTAGCCAGAACGACAAAAAAACAGCTCTATAAAGTGCAATAAGAAAACAAGCGATAACTTTAGCCTCAAGAACTACACGCCCCTTGCAGCCTTAAGTCTAGAGTATCTCACGTGTACCAAATACTAGCCAGAACGACAAAAAAAAACAGCTCTAGAAAGTGCAAAAAGAAAACAAGCGATAACTTTAGCCTCGAGAACTACACGCCCCTTGCAGCCTTAAGTGTAGAGTATCTCACGTGTACCAAATACTAGCAAGAACGAGAAAAAAAACAGCTCTATAAAGTGCAATAAGAAAACAAGCGATAACTTTAGCCTCGAGAACTACACGCCCCTTGCAGCCTTAAGTGTAGGGTATCTCACGTGTACCAAATACTAGCCAGAACGACAAAAAACAGCTCTATAAAGTGCAATAAGAAAACAAGCGATAACTTTAGCCTCAAGAACTACACGCCCCTTGCAGCCTTAAGTGTAGAGTATCTCACGTGTACCAAATACTAGCCAGAACGACAAAAAAACAGCTCTATAAAGTGCAATAAGAAAACAAGCGATAACTTTAGCCTCGAGAACTACACGCCCCTTGCAGCCTTAAGTGTAGAGTATCTC